TCTTTCCCTCTCTTCCCTTTTCCCTGCAATGCTCTGGTTTCAGCCTCAAACTGCATTCCCAGGGCTTGCTCAAAAGTCCCCAGAGCGACCTTCCCTGGGGAGGAAGTGGGGAGCGTGTGAGGCTGGTGAACTCAGCTGGGGTGTCAAAGGGTTGGGGGAGTACTCTGGGAACAGAGGCCCAGGGAAGCTGTGCAGCTGCCAGGATGGGAAAAGGGGCCCCACGTGGTGGCTCTCGCATCTCTGGAAGCTTCTTCAGACCTTCACGCTCATCCTCCTTGCTTCTACTCTGCCGCCCCGGCTGGGCCTCGCCGTGAGCCCAGCAACATGCTAACTGTGAAAATAGCAGCCATTTGTTGTGGACTTACTATGTGCCTAGAACTGTGCTTTCTCTTGGTACCTACTTTATTTGACTTTCACAAACAAGCCTGGGAGGTCAGAAACTGAGGCTCAGAGAGGTGAAGACATTGGCTCTAGATCACACAGCTAGTAATTGCTCCAGGCACGATTCAAAAGCACGTCTGGCTGACTCCAGAGCCTAAGTCTTCTCTGGTCTTCCCCCAAAAATGGTGGAAACCCTAGGGCCCTGGAGTGTGGGGAGAGAAAGGCTGTCATAGGTGCATACGTGTGAGGGGGCTGAGGAAGCGGAGCTGCGCGAGGAGTGTGGGTTTGGGAGCGTGCTGGGTGTGGGGGAGCTCAGCCCCCTCTGCACTGCATTGCCATCTGGTTCACAGATGCGGCCCCTTTCCAGGCTCTTGTGTTTCTTGGAAATGAGTAAGGCCGGGAGAGGGCACAGGGGCTTTTGCAATGGCTACAGTGACGAGAGCTCTGTTTCTTGGTCATCAAACCAGTCTCTGCCTAAGCTCAGGAGGCAGCAACCGGGTATAAAGAGCCGGGGCTCAAGGCCACCTCTGTCTGACACTAGTGAGCTATGACCCCGGACAAGCTGCACAGCCCCTCGGAGACTCAGTCAGGGACAGCATTATCCCTACCTCTGGCTGTGCCCTTTAATTATGGGAGGGGGCATTTTGCAGGTCAAGAGCCTCATGTAGCTAGAAGGGGTCACTGGTGCCACAAGTCTGTCCCTCTGGTCTCTGTCACTGCATGAGCCCCGAGTTCAGTCTACCCCTGATGACTCCATTTTTATGTGTGAGGCTGAAAGCAAGAGCCGCTAGTCAGAGGCCGTCTGGGGAGTCTCCTTCCAGACCAGCACTTTTGCTGATGGGTGAACGTGTGCTGGAAAGGGAAGGTGGCCCTCCTGCTCCTGGGACTCGGGGTTTCTCAGAGGACCCCTCTGGAAGCTGGGCAGGCACAGCATGGGTAACAGCTGTCTCAGGCCCATGGGGGCAGCTCTTCCAGGCCTGGGAAATCTCACTAGGCTCAGCCTGAGGCCTCTGAGCATCCAGTGGGGCCCAGGCCCTGCCTTAGCTCCAGGGCCTACCAGCCCTGCCAGGACTCTTCAAGGCCAGGGCTCTGGCCATAGGGCACTGTGGTGTCCTTCTGACAGATGGGATCTTTGTTCCTTCCAGGCAAGGGCACCAGCTGGCGGGAGCCACCCCCACTATCCTGATGTTGAAAAGCAAGAACCCCAGAGAGGGAGACTGCTGGGGACCCGACCCAGGCAGGTGCCTGGAGACAGAACAGTGAGTGCCTCCTCCCTTCATCTTCCCGTACCCCTCCACCCTGAGGGTTCTGTAAGCCAGGGCCTCCAGATAAACTCCTCTCTGCACCCTAGGCCGACCAAGGGGATGGTATCCATGGCTCAGACTGAGGAGAAGCTGAACAGGGCCAGGTTGAAGGAAGGCCCCTGCCTATCTGCGGGAGTGCGGGCAGCTCAGAGCTGTCGGTATAAAGAAGTGGGGCCAAGGGAGTGCAGACCAACCTGGGGCCAAGGATTGCCACGCCCCATCCTCCCTACAGAAACAGAGCCTGCCTGATTTGGGGAAAATAGTAATCTTCCCTACAAAGGAGTGAACAGGCTCGGACTGGAGAAGCAGGAAGGCCTGAGGGTGTGTGGTTTCGGACAACGAGTCTCATAATGTCTCTGAATCTCGTGATAACGAAGCAACTCGTAGGGCTTCCGGTGGGTCGGTGAACTCAGGCTCGCATCCTGGACGTGCAGCCCTGGCACACAGCAGAGCTCGAGAAATGAGAAATGGGAGCAGCTCTTCCCTCTCCACACGTCCTCCCCTACCTGCCAACATTCAAAGGCACTTCCACACACACAGTGGTGCAGACAGTGGGAGGGGTCGCCTTCGTGACACAGGTGGAGAAACTGAGGCCAGGGAAAGTGCAGGGACACACTCAGGGCTGAAGACACTCGGTTGCTTAGAGGGATTCTAGCCCTTGATCTCTTGTGATGGAAAAGAGTGGAAGAAGATTTGGAGGTAAGTGGAAGGGAAGGGAGAAGGAGGCAGGGCTCCAGCAAGGAGCGGACACTTGGGGACATGGGACAAGGCCCAGGCCTGCCTGACATTACACAGCCCACCTGTTCATCCCTGCAAGTCCCACGCATGTGTGCAAACGTGCACCCCGGCACAGCACACACCCGGTCCTCACTCACTAGCGAACGAGCCAGAGAGATTGGGTCTAAACAAATTGGATTAGGAGGCTGCAGGCGCCTCCTCCCACCGACTGTCCGGCTCCGACACTAAGCAGGCCTGCAGAGCTGCCAGCTGCGGTCTCTCGGCCACACTGACAGTCCTTGGCCCCCTTGCCTCACCCCGGGCCCCAGGAAGACAGGAGGGGGCTGGGGGCCAGGAGGATGCCACGATGATGGATGGGGTGAGGGAGGTTCCAGGACTAGCTCAGAGCACACAGGATGTTAGCGCTTGTGCGAGGCACATTTCGGAGCTGTTCCCAGCACCACCCCCCTCCTCCCCTCATGCCCTCCCTTCGTGTAGCCTCTCCCACTGTCGGTCGCTGCTGCTGGGCTGGGATGAGGCCCAGAGCCCAGAACCAGGCCCCAGGCAGATTCCTCATCTCTCCGGCCCGTGGCTGGGCTGACCCAGAAGTGGTCAGCTCAGGGGACTTCAATGTAACCCTGCAGGCAGGGACTTTAGTGGGAAGAAGGAACTTGTGGACAGAAAGTCAATGCCCTGTTAACAGTGGTATCTCGGGGCCAGCTGGTAGCATGGTGGTTAAGGCAGCTGGATCCCACATGACCGACTGCATGGTTCAAGTCCCGAACCCAGGAGCTTGAAAAACCCACCAGACCTGGTATGCATGCATGCTCTGTATCCCAAGAGGAGAATGGAGGAAAAGGGATTGCAGTGTGGCCATCTCCCCTGGGTGGTGATTTCTCACTTTCCTTCTCTCTCTCTCTCTGGTGAGCACAAGCACCCTATAGGAAAATTTAAAAAAGGAAGAAAAAAATTGAAAGTTATTTTATTTAATTTTATTCATTATTATTATGGTTTTTTGTTTGTTTGTTTGTTTTTTAATTTGACCAGAGAAAGACAGAGAGAGAGAGAGAGATGGAGAGAAAATGAGAAACCAAGTCACCAGGTCCAGGACTTGAACTGTGGTTGGCCATATGAGAGTCCAGCACCTTAACCACCACACCAACTGCTGGCCCCAACAAAATGTTTTGAAAAGCAGCATCTTAGTACTTCTGCTTCCATTGTTTTGTTTGATCCTCTGAGTTCCTGGGAGTCAGAGGCTTGTGTCCCTTGTACAGATGTGACAGCCGAGGCTTACTCAGTTAGTTAGTAATTCTGTAATAACCCTGACCTGAGCCTTGAGTATGCCAGACCCTGTGTGAGGTGCTGGGGACGTGGAGAGAGTGACTTATAGCCCCCATTTTCTCTGCTTAGCAAAATAGTCCCCTGAAGCCTGCTGGCTGGTCACTGGGGTCCCCAGGTCTTCCTGGGGAGTAGCTCCAACAGAATCCCTTTTCTGTAAGGCACATGTAGGTGACTGAGTGTCAGCACTTTGGCAATCAGCCCACTCAGAACACAGACCCTGAGGCCAGACAGCCTTGAGTTCAAATCCTGCCTTGCTCCCTTTCCAGCTGGATAACTGTGGTCAAATGAACCTCTCTGAGCCTGTTTTCCCTTCTGCAAAATGGGGATACCAAAGTTCCCACGTTGTAGGGCTAACTGTGTAGATTCACTGTTATTTTCCATACTCTCAATTTTGGGGGGAGGGGAGAGGTTTTTTGCTACAGGGTGCATGTGCTCGCCAGAGACAGAGACAGAGAGACAGAAAGCGAGAAATCATCCCCCCCTGCGGGAATGGCCACGTCGCAATCCCTTCTCCTCCATTCTCCTCTCGGGATCTTGGGCACACGTGCACATGCACCCGGCGTGAGTTTAAGCCACCGGGTCCGGGACTTGAACCACAGTTGGCTACATGAGAGTTCAGCAACATAGCCATTACGCTAACTGCTGGTTCCCCCATACTTTCATTTGACAGAGGGAGAAACAGAGATGAGAGAGGAAAAGAGTTTTGCCAGAGTCATGTCCTGAGGTAGGTTACATCAGGACCAAATGGGTCCCCCTTCTCTCTAGGTGTTCCTCTCCCACCGTCCCTCATCCTATTATAAAGCCTCCCCACTCAGTCCAGAGGCCAAGACCGTGGACCAGGTCATACAGGTGATTTCTGGGACACGCCCCTGGGCCCTACCCACCCCCTCAGCTGCAGAGTCCCAGGTGTTGGGCAGGGGCCCCCAGCCCTCTGAGGAGAGGTGGAGGGTGGGGAGCGGCCGGCTCCCAGCCCAGAGCAGCCTGGCCATATAAGGGAAGGCGCCCAGGGAGGCCTCCTCGCTCAGGCCTGGCGAGAAAACCCAGACAGTCACTGTTTATTTTCTCCTTCCCAGCCTCTCCTTCACCCACGCCTCCCTGGAGCTTCCAGACAGAAGACAGAGGATCCCCCCAGCCCGGCAACATTTCCTGAAGGCATAAGGAGTAGAGAGGGGGAGACCATCCGTCTGCCTAGGAGCAGTCCCCGAAGCCACCCACAGCTAGCACCGAGAGCCACCAGGTAAGAGTCCTGAGGCCACCTGGTCGACCACCTCCTTTTACAAAAGTGGAGACAGCCACAGAGAGAAGTGGCTGTGCCAAGGGGAGAGAGCCTGGGTCTCCCTCATCACCCGACGGGGGAGCCAGAGTGCAAAGGAGCCTTTCACGGTGCAGGGGGGTGGGTGGGGGCGGACACAGACGCCCTCCTTCTCGGTGAGGACCTCACTTGGAGGAGAGAGGGGTCAGGCAAGTGCGGTCTGCCTACCCAGCAAGTACTCAAGATTCAAAGAAGGAGTCTTGGGGCCAGAAAGCAGGTGAAGCGTCTCCCGTCCTGTGCCTTGGCCTCTCCTGTTAGCCAAGCCATTCTACCTCCTCTTCCAGGAAGTGTTCCCTGCTCCCTCCAGGGGCAGGAACTTCCTTGTCCGCTAAGCCCTTGGCATCCTTTCCTGGACTCTCTCTTGTCCCACTTAGGTCTACCCATCTCATCTTATTGGAGACATTTTCCTTCTACCTCAGCCGGGCTGTGTTCCTCTAGGACAAGGGCTACCGAAGGCCCAGTCCCACCTTGTCTCAACTCATGGAAGAGGCACTGGATTTGCCGAAGGAACAGGTGGAGCAATTAGACCCTGTCCCAAAACCAGAGGTCTGGTAATCTGGTCAGCTTCGAGGTTAAAAATGAGGGTCCTGGATTTGGCTATTCCGAGTTAGAAATTCCAGTTCCATTCCTGGCTCTATTCTCTTGGGAAGTTCCCCTCCCATAGAGTCTAGGGGACGCACAGAAATCAGCACAACTAACCCGTTTCATTGTTGCCTATGCTCACTATGGTCATCACCATTGTGATGGCTCTAGATACGAAGGACAGACCTGAGCAACCTCTAGCCAAGGCCTGGGCTCTGCCCCAGGCTCACAGAGGAGACAGAGGCTCAGGTTCCCTGGGCTGAAGGCTGGATTCAGCCCCTCGTCTGCATCGGAGTTTCTCCCAGAGGTGCATGCAACTCCCTCTCACCTCATTCCTATCTCTAAATCCAGGAAAAATGCTAACTCTGCTGCAATATTCTTTTTATTTTTTTTAAAGAGGTTTTTGCCTTAGGGCACTGCACTTTCTGGAGAGAGAGATAGACAGACAGTGAGAGGGAAAGTGAAAAATCAGCCCCAGGGGGTATGACCAGGCTATGGTCCCATCTCCTCCATTATTCTCTCCAGGATCTTGGACACATACACACACACACACACGCTGCCTAGTATGATTTTAAAGCCACTGGGTCTGGGCCTTGAACTGCGATCAGTCATGTGGGAGTCCAGCAACATAACCGCTACACCGTCTGCTGGCCCCTCTGCTGCAATAGTCTTAACCCATAGCGTGTGATGGAAATAGCCTTCACTCCCCTGGTTTGAACCCAGGCTTTGTAGCCCTGGAGCAGTGTCCTCTCCCTAGCCCCCATGTGGAGGTGATAACATCCCACTGCTGGCCTCACCAGCTGTCCTGAGGATTAAACAGGATCGGGCACTGTTTCCCATACGCCATCATTCAGGTGCCCCCTTCTTCACGTTTCCTGTATCTGCACACAATCGTAATGTTTTAAAATGTAAGAGGAATCCTTTTTGATACTTACAGAGAAATGTCCATAGTTAGGGGATAAAGGGAAAAAGAAATACAGTAAAAGGAAAACAACATGTCACACTTTAACTTGACAGCACCACTTCCAAGGCCCTGGGCCTGAAGCCTGGGTGATGAGCAGGATCTGGAAGGTGGCAGAGATGTGACAGCACGGGGCTGAGCTTTGGCGGCTGGCACATGGCAGGAGTGAGACAGAGTCCTGGATGGAGCAGGCCTGCGAAGGCTTTGGTGAAAGCCTCAGAATTCTGCCCAAGGGCAATGGTGAACCTTTTCAAGAAAAGATAAAACCATATTTGCATTTTAAACAGTCACTGTGTGGGGACCAGCAGTTGGCGTAATGGCTATTGCTAGACTCCCATGTAGTAGACTGAGGTTCAAGTCCCAGACCTGGTGGCTAAAACTCATGCCAGGCGCTTGTACGTGCATGCCCAGGATCCTGAGAGGAGAATGGAGGAGAAGGGATTGTGGCGTGGCCATCCTCCCTGGAGAGTGATTTCTCACTTTCTGACTCTCTGTCTCTCTCTGTCTTTCTGGTGAGCACACGCACCCTATAGCAAAAAAACTCTTTCCAAAAAAAAAAAAAAACAAAAGTAACAGTGACTGTGGAAGGGTGGGTGGGAAGAGGGACAGAGTGGAAGGAGGGAGACAGGTTGCAGGCAGGTGTCGGATGAAGAAAACTATCAAGCACCATGGTCCAGCTGCAAAGACTCTGTACCCTACAGCCTGGGGCCACACGGGAGGCCCAGGTTCAACTCCTAGTCCAACTGAGAGGCCTGGTGCAATGGTGCGTGCCTGTTATCCCAGTGACTCGAGTGTTGTGACAACAGGACCCTGTCCAAAAAAAGAGAAAAAGTCAAGTACCACACGAATAGTGCTGTTCAGCTGGGACGCCCAACCTGTAAAGGTGGGGCGCAGGGTCAAAAAGGAAAGTCAGCATGTTGGATGGTTCAGCGTATTGCCCTGTCCAGGACAGGCAGATGTAGAGACAACGCAGTCTGCCCAGAGCTGGCAGCTGGCTAAGAGGAGGGTTTATTGTGACGTATTCTAAAGTAGATTCTGGCAGTGATTGCTCTGCACTTGGTGAATGTATTTAAACATCATTTACTTGTACATTTAAATGGGTGGGTTGTGTCTCCATAAAGTTTTCTTATTTTTAGAGAGTTTTGCTATAGGGCATGTCCATTGGCAGGAGAGCCAGAAAAAGAGAGGAAGAGAGAAAAATCACACACCCACTGGCAGTGGGTGGGGTGGGGTGGTGGCCACGCTGCAATCCCTTCTCCTCCATTCTCCTCTTAGGATTTTGGGCACACACACACACAAATGCCCAGCGTGAGTTTCAAGCCATTAGGTCTGGGACTCAAACTGCAGTCGGCCACTTGAGCATCCAGCGCCTTAACCACTATGCCACCTGCTGCCCCCCCCCCGAAAAAAAACTACTTTCAATAAAAGGAAAGGAAGGTCAGATTGGTCCCAGATGACTCAAAAGGGAGGTCAAGGACAGGAAGCACCACGAGGGTGCAATAGTCCCTGGGCCAGAGCTGGGGGGCTGGAGCAAGGTCCCCACTGACGTACCCTCTCCTGCCCAGGGCCAAGTCCCCGCCTGTGGCCACCGGAGCAGCCCCATGGCGCCCTGTCTCCCAGCCTGAGGTGCAGTGCTGCATCTCTGGTCAGTTGGGAGTCTGAGATGAAGCACTGTAGCTCGGGAAGGGAGGAGTGTTCTGCAGCCTCAACCTGGAAGCGGTGAGTGGGGCATGGGGTGTGCGGGGAAGGACAGAGTGTTTCTAGACCTCCCGCTGTAAGTGCTGGAGTAGTTCCTGCTTCAGGGTCTCCTCGCGCCACTAGCTGCTTTGCGATTCCAGGCCAATTCTGATCCTCTCTGCACCCCAGTTTGTCTGCTGTACGTAACATGAGGTGCCAGACGTTCAGAGGCGGCCATGCCCCGGCCCCCTGCCTCTGCTCTCTCCCTCCCAGCCCACGGCAGGCACTGCCGATCAGCCAAGGCATCTGTTCTCGATGTGCTCAGATGCCGTTCCAGAATCCTTCTCAACAATGATTCCCAGACGGCCGCAAGATGATTCAAAGCGGAAACCCATTCATCAGTTTTGGATCATATCATTACTAAAACATGTCAGCGCTAAAGACAAAAGACCCAGGCTTCGAGTCAGGGTTTTTCATGCCATGATCTCCTAATGTTGGTTCTAAGATGCTTCCTAAGGCAGTCTGGATGTCTCGCGAATATCTGACCTCTCCAAGGCTTCAGACAAGCAAGGAAGGGCAGAGGAAAATCACCGGGCTAAGCACAATCTCATTCAACCTCCCATAGACAGCGTTGTCAACCCATTTTATAGGTGAGAAAACCGAGGCCCAGTTCAGCTCTTCGCCCAAGGTCACACACAGATTGTGCTGAGCAGGGGTTGTACCCTATCCTGTCTGCCTTCTGGTCCTTGCTCTGACCCATCGCATGTGCTTATGGATCTTGGGACTGGGAGCAGGGCATATTGTCTCGGGCTCTCAGTAAAGACAAGCCCCCTTCCATGAATCCTATGTACTCCTTCCCTCTTCTTTAGGTGGGAAAAATCCTATTTATTTTGCCTGTCTAGTAGGTCCTGTATTACCCCACTGTACAGTGGAGAGAAGCCAAAGCTCAGAGGTTGAGCAACTTGCCGGAGGTTTTCAGCCAGGAAGTTGACAAACAGGCTGGGAACTGGGTCTGCCCAGCTCGTTTACATGGCTAGAGACTCAGGCATACACAGGACCCCGGGCAGTCGCCGGGGCGGGGGCGGATGGTTTGTGGTAGACAGTGTTGCCGCCAAAGTCTGCCCTCTGACTGCAGCAGGGAAGGTACTTTCCAGGGTCCTTGAAGTTCCAGTCAGTACTCCCCCCAGAGCAATGAGCCTCGCCTCATCCAAGATCCATGGCACCGTGGCATTGCAGCTGGCTGCTGCGATGGGGCTGGATCCAGAAGGACACTCCAGCTGGTCTTCAGGGACATGGCGGGCCTCGGTGCTGAAGGCCACTCCCTCCCACCTTGTCCTCACGGTCCAGTTTTCCCAGGAATCCCTTAGATGCTAAGATGGGGATTCCTGGAAATACTGTTCTTGAGGTCATGGTTTAACAGCTGGACTCACCTCCTTCCCACCCCAGAGTCGCCCCTCTGCGGGGCCTCAGCTCAAACACAGGATGAGGATCGAGCAGAAGGCTGAGCACTGGAGGTAAGCAGGCTCGCGAGCCGAGTTCTTGCCATTTAAGCTGCTTTTCTTTCCATCGTGTCCTGTTCGTAATATCCCAGCGAGACTAGATGTGGGAACTCCGACGCGTCCGAAGTCACTACTGGGCTGCGGTTGAACCAGGACAGCGCAAAGTCATATGTTTCTTCCCGTCTCTGCCCCACCCTTGCCCCACTTCCCAGCATGCTTTATGGTAGGGGCCAAATATCTGCATTATTGATAAATGAATACACATACATGAGTTTATTTTTAAAGTTTATTATGTCACTTAAGTAAATGAAAAACCAGAAGTCTTAGTTCAATTTGGAATGCTGTCACAGAAAAATGGAAAATTTTAGGAGAAAAAAGTAAAAGAAAAATGGAAAATTTGCCAGGCACAGCGGTACACACCTGTAATCCCAGCTTCTCAGGAGGCCGAGGCAGGAGGACCCTAGGTCAAGCTGCATTAGAGGCCAGCCTAAGCATCACAGCAATACCCTGTCTCTAAAACTTAATTAAATTTTAAATAATCAAAATTTTTATTAAAAAGAGAGAAAAAAGAAAAATGGAAAATTTTTCATCAGAGAAGACAAAAGCTCAGAGCGCCCCCTTGTGGTGCATCTGCCCACTCCAGGAACACTGACCACACTAGCGAAATCATCTCTAATCTTGCTATCAACTTGGGACTCAGATAGTGGTCTTCCTACACACACACACACACCCCAAGATTCCTTTTGTCCCCAAAGTTTTTAAAAACTTTCACCAGAGGGCATATGTGCTTGTGGGATTGGAGGGGAGGGCAGAAAGGAGAAAGCACCCCCATGGGGAATGGTCACAAAGCAATCCCTTCCCCTCCATTTCTCCGTCCTTTTGGGACTTTGGGCACACACATGCGTCTGGCATGTTTTTCAAGATGCCAGATCTGGAACTTGAATCCTTTCAGTTGGCCATGTGGGGTCCAGCTATCTTCACCATGCCACCAACTAAACTATCTCCCAAATATTTATTTATTTATTTATTTTAATTTGACCAGAGAGGGACAGAGTGAAAGAGAGAGAGGGGGGGGAAAGTGAGAAGGCAAGCTGCCAGGTCTGGGACTTGAACCGTGATCTGCCATGTGGGAGTCCAGCAACCTTAACCACCATGCCACCTGCTAGTCCCTCTCCAAAATATTTTTAAGGTTTATTTATTCCTTCCATGGGAAAAAGAGAGAAAACAGAGAGAAAGAGAGAGAGTACCCCCCACCAGGATTGTAACGCTGAGATCCCTCAGGCACGCATGTCTCTGTGTAC